ATTCCTGCAGAACCTTGAGTCGACAGGTGAAGTGCTACTGAGGTTTTGACTCATTACACTAAGATCCAGGGGATCTTATTTTACTGAGCTAAAAATACACTAATTTTCAGAAAAAGGGAATGGAATTTTTTCCTTTCAAAAACCACACAAAGTCCTTGTGATCTATCCACAGCTTCTGGAAAATCCTCTAGCAAATGACACGTTTTCCACAGGTGGAACAAGAGTTCTACTGTCTGCCAAAGCGTACCCACGCCAATCTACCTTGTAGTAATCGTACAGCAGTCCGAGGGCAGCTGCGCTGTCTTCATCGCCATTGATGCTCATCATAGCTTTGGTAGCTGCCGTAAGGGGATTTTCAAGAAAGGTTTTCCAGGCCTCATCTTCACTGGTGTAAGGACGTCTCTGAGAGTAGAGAGAGTCATTCTGAAGAACCAACACGGGTCTTTTACTTGAATCATAAAAAAAAGAAGAGAGAAGAAAGAAAAAAGGCCACCTGTTAGAACACATGAAAAACATTCCTAAAGCTCTTCTAAATTAGCTGCCCCAGTTTCACAGGGTTCATGTTCTGATTCAGTGCACTGCAAGGATTAGTCAACATAAAAAGCCCAGAAACCTAATTCTGATCTCACACTCAGTGTAAATCAGGATTAATTTGACCAAACTCAGCTGGATTACACCAGCCTATATAAAATTGCAAAGCCATTTAAAGAGCACAACTGAGCGGCTCATGCTCTGAATCCAACCCAGAAAGAGTTACAGGTGCTCACTGGCCCATCACCTACACAACCTCTAGACCATCCTACAGAATACCGCCAAGCCGCGACCTGCTCCAGTTCCCACGTGGAACTAGACAACGTGAATTAATGAAACATCTCTTTCCCCCAGAGCTTTCAGAAGGTGTCTTCATTCTCAGAGTATATCTGAAAACACCACCGAGAAGTTGGTGATTTGTTACAGACTACACAGGAATACTGCCCAGGGGGACCCCAAATCAATTTGGCAGTGGATTTTTCCGACCAAGGGAAGCCAACAGACTTACTGCTAGTCTGTAAAACCCTCAACAGACAACTGGGAAAAAAGCGAAAAACTGGAGTTTTCCCCTTTATGTTGCAATATGCAAAATAATTATACTTAGTCTGAACATTTTGAGATTGCTGGGAACAAGAAAGCTCTAAAGACAGCTTGGACCTTCTGCCCACAGGCAAAAGCAGGACATCTGCAGAAAACGCTGTCCTACCAGCTTCGATAATTTAGTAGTATTTTGTTTCTATTGGTAAAATATAAGCTTCATCTTTCAAGTCAGTTCAAGCTAATGTTGTATAAATCTGACTTGAAAACCAGTTCAAAGAGTTTTCTTTCCAGGGCAAGCGTAACATTAGTTAACTGCAGATTGTCTGGGAGAGGAAGGAGGTTTTCTTAAATAATCCCAAACTTGGCGTTTTTTAATGAATTGGTAATGGCTGAAAACAAACACATAAGTATAAAAAACCCCAAGCCCCACAAAGAGCAATTCCCCACCACCATCACACCCCTTCCCCGGGAGATAAGCATTCTTTAAATCCATTTACTGACACACATTCAGAGATTGAAATATACTACAAATACAAAAGGTTGTGAAATACAAAGTTGTGAAATACTCTCATCACTGTAATCAGCTTAACAGTATCCTACATTTATCACCACCTTCTACCAAAAAGATTGCAAAGCACTTTGCAAATTACGCGTTGGACCCTTTCTCAGTTACACAAGGAGTCGCTGAGCTTCAACGGGACAGCTCGGCTGAGCTGAAGACACTCAAAGCGAGTGGGAGTTTCCAGAACTTGTAAGAGCACCTTGTGGCTATAAATCAATATTATATAGTTGGAAAAAAGCAAACAACAACAAAGACGACAGGCTCTTGCACAAAACCCTTTCTTTAGGTCTTTGTACATATTTGTGTACACGCTGACGCACATACCAAACGCAGATACCTCTGGTATCGAGGACACCCACTTTCTATCAAAGACTGCACAGCAAAAAACAGAGTGGAAGTTTCTTTAGGGACACGGTACAAGCTCCTGTTCTTATACAGTGTGACAAAAGAAACCTCAAATGTCCACAGCAAATGGGTAAATCCGCCAGTTAAAGTCACTTGCAAAGAAAAATGCAACCGAAGTATCCTGGGTGCCGATCACCTGATCCATCTCTGCCAAGCCAAAGGGCTAAGTCAGCCTTGCTGGGATTCCCAAGACCACTAAGCTGATTCCCTCCACCAATGCAATGCCCACATGGACAGAGAGAACCAAAAATACTAAGAACTAAAGCAGCCACTAATCAGAAACAAAGCAAATGCAAAAACTACTCTTTTGTGTGTGATTTTTGTCATTGCAACACTTAAAATACAATGCACAGTGCCCTACAGGTAACCTACCCCGCTAAAAGCAGCGTATAAAGGATTATCTGCAGAATTTCCAAGAGAAACACAGTGTTTGGCAGTAACTCAATCTCTCAACAGAGCCACAGCTTCTTTCAGAAAGATGGTAACATATTAATAAGAAAACACTTATTTTTCTCAAGTTTCAGGTTTCAAGATTACTGGCACGTGGATCTACTCACAAAGTAGCATAGATGTCCAGCAAAGGCTAGAAATAAGTTTTCTATTGCAGCTTTAATAATTTCTGAATTTTATTTTCTACATGACTGAAGTGGAAGTAGAGGTATACTACAAAAAGCAGATACTCTCTCTTTTCTTGCAAGGATCCCACAGCCCTCAATGTTCTGTGTTCGGATCACAGAAACTGTTTCTACTTACTTCACTGACCCATAACCCGGCCGTTCTCTCCCTCACCGTGCAATTCAACTTGAGATGCTAAGAGCCCCTCAGCCGCACGGTGCTTTACACCTGGCCTTGCGCAGAGCACACCTTTAGTGCTGAGGCTGCAGAGAAGGTTTCTTTCGCTGGCTTCTACATGCCAGAAGAGTGAAGCACATGCACCCAAATTGCTACGGCCCCATCTATTAGGTGTCATCGGAGGTAAAAACACATATGAAAAATCCTAATCATAGGGTGAATTAGTGAGCTGCTGCGTTAAAAGTCCTCTTGCTGGAAAGTAGTATATTAAAAAAAAAAAAAAACCAACTTCAGTAAAAATCCCATGCTTTCCCTAGGAAATGAGTGCATTTGAGTCACTGATCGTTCACAACACAATTTATAATCGGTTCCTCAAATCACCTCAGAGCTCCCCCATCTTTTCACTAAGTGCCCACTGCCGTCCCCAGACGGACACGGTGACAACTGCAGAACTAAACCCAAGTCGTTAACCACAGCGAGGGACCCGGCTGAAGAAGACGCCTGGGCGTTCAACGCCAGGAAGTTACAGGAAACACCCCTCAGGCTCAATTTCAGCTCTTTTAACACCGAGCTCCGCGCAGCACGAGGCGGCTGCAGCCGAGCTC